TACTTTCTGGTCAGTTAGGCAACCCACACCCCACTTGAAGAAGACATATGCCTGGGCCCAGCTGAGATCACACTTTAAAACATTTTTAATATTTCAGCTCTATCTGATACTTACATGTACAATGTGAAAACTAGAAAATTTCACCCCCAAACCCTCTTTAACTTTGCTCTGTCTGCCAGTTATCCTTGCCATTTATCTATTTCCTTCTCCATTTATGAATGTTATTCTTGGCTTGCCATGCAAACCAGTTCAGATGCTTTGAAAGTATATAAGAACAATGAACAATAAGGTCCTTTTATTTTGCAGTACTGTTTTCAGACAATCTTATGATTCATGGGTCACATTGATCCAACTAAGTCCATTCTTATCTAACCCAAGGCTTAGGTGGCAACCATTTGGACAAAATAATTATTTCCCAGAAGTGTGTAAAAAATCAGACCTCTTCTCAACAATGATCGTTTTTTTAATTTCATTTAAAAAAAAACCAACCCCAATTTAATCTTGAGCTATTAATATTCTTAAGACCAATCCAGAACAAAGGAAGTTTGCCCTTTGACAGAAGTTTGACCTTTTCTTTCACTCTTCCTCCTGTCCCACCCTCTGAGTGACTGAAAAATAGAAAAGATCAAAGCCCAGTCAGGGATGCATTTAGAGGGTAATTTTTTTTCCAAATTTTGTCACTTATTCCCAATTTTTATTTTACTATTCATAAAATTTAAGCAAGCTTGGTAAATTTTTCAGCTATTTTCATCCACTGATACTATCTTAGCATAAGAAGCCCTTGAGCATATTTTGATGGCAAGGAAAGTATTTCTACTGTATAAATTGAGAAGCTGTTGCAAGAGAAATCGTGCCTCTATCTCAATTCTACTTATGTGGAAGAGATCTATTGAGGCAGTGTATACACACCAGCATATATAGAACTGAAAACAGACAAAATTTGCAAATGTATTTCAAAACCATTTTTTGCTTAAGAATGGTTTCCAAAGAGACTGGGGTTTGGGAACTTTGGCTGTCAACCCTCCTGCCATCACTGGTCATTTCACATGAAGCGAAGGTTAACAAAAATTGTATTATATGGAGGGTTCCAGCAATTTAAGAAACAAGTTTCCTTCAAAAATCAGCTAGCTACCTGCTCATCGTAGTGGCCAGTGGTAGAAGAATTAAGTAGGAATTAAACTATATAATGTTATTTTACGGACCAAGCCATGCCCATAACCAGAAAACAGGCCCAAAAGGAAACTCTTATGTTTTTGGGAAGGCATGAATTTTTTTCCTGTCTCTGGGGCCAACTGAGGACCTAAGCAACTTATATTTAATAGGTACCCAACTACACTTGTAGAATGGATGATTAAATAAATCAATGGACACTTTCATTCTATAGTCTAATCTCTGAGCCATCTAATAAGCAAGTGTCATTCAGTCAAGATCTTTTTCATTTTTTGTCCAGGAATAACACAACTGCTTGAAATTATAAATAGTGCTCATTTAGTACCTCTCTAAGTCAGACTAGGTTGCTTTTGGAACAGATTTATTTCATTTAATATTTAGCATCATCTTAGCAATTAGTACTTATATGAATGAAAAACAGAAATTCCTCTTAATCCCATTCTACCAAGCATACCAACAAGGTGGCCTATTTATTTCAACATCTCAGTGTCTTACATACTACCACTGTTTAATAAACACTTTTTTAATTAAAAAAAAATCTAACTTTTTATTTTGTCATGTTTCCATCATTAAGTTACAGAGATAAAATACACTTTGACTTTGGCTTTACAGTTTATTCATTCTCCTCAGCACTTAATAGCATTTTATTAGGATTTAATAAAATTTTTAATAAATGATATAAAAACCTTTTTAACTGCTCAAATATCTTCCTGAGTCAGGGAATGATTAAAAGATTTATAAAACCATTTATGTCATCTTAATTCTCCTCAAACCTTTTAAATTTAGGACAAGGAGTAAATGCTTTTTATGATTTTCTGGAGCTAGGACAAGTGTCTCCATTTTATATTGAATGAATATTTTATTTTCTCTTTTTCCAATGTCTAAGTCAAGTAAATGGGTCTTCTGTAACGGGCCTACTTAGCAAATTTATCAAGCAACCATGAAGCAAACAGATAGTCAAACATTATTTACTCAACAATCAAATTAAAGGTGTTTTCTGTCTTCAGTTGTGATCAGTGATTTTATGTCCTTTATATTAGGTCCATTTTACCTCTTTTATATTTAGGACCTAGAAGGCATAGACCACATAAATAATGGTTTGCTGAATAGATGAATTTAAAACAAATACAGTCCTTTATTTTCATTTACTGTCTCTAAGCCAGGCCAGGGTGATTATAATTTACCTTCATCAGCAGCACTCAACATTTAAGAAACTGAACAGAAAATCATAGCACCTTGATTTTTTAAAAAATTTTTTCCATCTTTTCAATCAAGCCAGATGGCAAAAAAACTAGAAATGATTTTATTCTTCTACTTAAGTTCAGCATTTATCATACTGCCGTACACAAATCCATTTTTTTCCTGACTTCATTATTGGATAAGTGTAGGAGTGGTTAAGTAGACTTTTGGTCTAGGTCTTACAATATTATATCATTTTCTCTCCTGTGAGCACTTTGTAATAATAAAATCATTTTTACATCCTGAGGCATACAGTTCTAAACCTCTCAGGAAGCAAACATGTTCACTAAGTCAGTAGTTAATTCCAAATTGTATAGGCCTTATAAATTCATACACAGATCAGTGTTGCAGGTTCAATAATAAAAATAAATGTTAGTGCCTCCAGGTGTTATCTCTGGGGATAATAGTAAATAGTTAAATAGTCCCCATTATTCATCAGGTAGTATATAAATTAATGGCAATTATCAAATTATAAATTAATTTTATACAAAATTTCTGTTTCTCAGGATATTGTAGTTTATCTTTGAATTCTCAATGCCTGTCAAGGACACTGGCACATAATAGACCATCCATGCTTGTATTCATCATTGAATGCCTTACATATTATATCAAATGTTCAACAGCTAACAATTCTTAAATATTTTGCACCAAATAATAAAGTCAATAGCTACATTTACATGATGCTTTAAAGTTCACAGAGTGATAAGACATGTATTGCTTATTCTCAGCTATAGGCACAATGAAATATGATAAACCTGTGTATATCTTCAGTGCCCATTACAGTGGGTTCACTGTAGGCAATCAACACCGATTCATTCATTCATTTGTTCTCAATTTTTTGTTCTCAGTCCTGTTTTGTTTTTTGTTGTTTTGTTTGTTTTTTTTTCCCTTGATGTTGTTGCTGTTATGACAAGGTCTCGCTATGTTTCCCAGGCTGGCCTCAATTTCCTGGAATCAAGTGATCCTGGCTCAGCCTCTCAACTGCTAGAACTAGAGGTACGCACCACTGTGCCTGGCTGATAAAAGTACTTATAGTAATCCTCTCATTGTGGGTCCAGCATACAATGAGAATCTTATAGAGAGAACATCTATTTCACAAGGTTTTAGTTATACAGAAACATTTAACATATTTCACAGGACTTGATAGTATACAGAGCACACTCATATTCCCTTATCTCTTCTGTCATCGGGGAAAATATACTGGTATCAATTTAACTTGAATTCACCAGTAAACTTGACTGATTAAATTCAGTGTATTCTCCTTCCTTACATATAAATACTATAGAGCATAAGCTTTCCTTTTTTATTTGGGAGAATCACTTGATAGAGTTTATCTTGGATTTCATGTACCCAAATACCTGGTATGTGTTAAGAAGCAGTTAATATTCATTCATAAACAAGTAACCCACTGTTATTTGTACAGTGCTTTAATTTACAATGTACTTTAATATTCACTTCCTTTCTGAAACTTTTTATTCTATGAGAATACCTTTGTCCTTTTGGTGTTTGGCTTGCTTAGCACGATATCTGTCATATTAGAGGTGAACACAATGGCTTAAAATATCTTGTATTTGCAGTTTATTTCCTACCTTAAAAGCAGTTTTTATGTGTTTTGTTTTCTGCTACCTGGAATCACCAAAGCATTAGAAACATGCTGGCCTCAAATACACAAATTATTCACTTATTGAACACTTATTATGTCTACATAGCATTATATTCTTTTGACAAAGCACTTTTTATTTATGCTTCTTTTAATCTTTATATCTACAGAGTGTAACACAAAAGAATGTATCATATGTAGTTAAGTTCATTTATCAACACTTAAATTTCCCAAGCTTTTATGTGCTTTATAGTTTACAAAGCACACTCATATTTTTCTTCAAGTCATCTGGATTTGGTCACAAAGAATCACTGCATGCTAGTGCCTGAACAGGGACAGGCACAAAGAAGAAAATCAATATTACTTAAATATATTATCTGGCATTTGTATCAGGGTTTCTTAAATTATATAGGTAGCAGGCCAAACCCATTTAGCTCACAAACTAAATGCTTCTCATCTTTTTAAAAGGCTAAGACTATGCAACAGAGATAATATGGCCTGCAAAATCTAATTTATAATCTTGATCTCTAAAACAGAAAATATAATGATCCCTGATGAAAGTACGGTTACAGTGTACTTTCAAATATTAGCTGTGCTTTATTGCCAATATTGTATTAATGAGCACACCATACTTTTTTTCTTGTTCTGTATATTGCTTTCATACAGACTGTCAATCACTTAAATCAACTTCCCTCATAAAAGGGGTGGGAAAATCAAGGAAAAGATTAAACTTGTTACCCAACAGTCCTAGGTTCTCAAGTCTAGAGATAAGTATTAAACCCAGGAGTAGATTTGGCACAGTGCCTCAAATTATTTGGCCACTACTGTGAGCAGGGAGTTCAGACCTCACTCTGTCCCAGGCCTCATCACCCTTTCAGTAACCATTATTAGAAATTATAGGAATCCTGCTCACCAAAGCTCATAGAAGGATGGTGATACTGGCTGGTGCTTCTCAAAAGCCTGGCACAGCTATCTATTTCTTGTCTGATTATTTTCATTATCCTTGAGTATTTCTTCACATTATCTCTACATAGCCTGGTACTTTTGTTCTTAAAGAACTCAATGTTTTGCTCTTTCATCAGGTAGGGCTTCTGGGGTGGAGAACACTGAAAAATATCTAAATAGATGCTTGCTTTTGAGTGAAGTAAAAGCTTGAATATATAGCAACTGGATTTTGGTGTCTCTCAAGTTGAGAGAAATGAAAGTCTATTAAAACTTTAAAACTTTAATGAATGGCTAAAAACTGTGATTTAAAATAGGCTCAAGATTGGTCCATCCATAATATTGTCAATCTAAACATACATTCCTTTAAGGTAAATGGCAGCATCAAAATACACATATGAAAAGAAGTAAGTTTAAATGAAATAAGAGAACTAGAAGGAGAGAACTAAATATGTCCAAGAGTAAGAGGTGTAACAACCAAAAAGTTCTCAGATTTACATTTCTCATCTTGGTACTTCTCTACTTCTGAGTTCAGAGTCACAGTCCTCCAGTTTCCAGCCTTTAGCTTTGAGATCTGGTTTTCTTAAACTTTCTGTCCATGTAGAAAAGCTTAATTTCTGGGTCTTATTTTGGTCTGGAGTTTTCTATCCTTGGTTTATAGGTCTATGACAATGGGCTTAAGTCAGTAATTAGGTCTTGTGTTAGGTCCCAATTCTTAAGTGTTCCATGTGTCCTGTAGAAAGAGCCCTTAATCTTGGGTCTCTGGCTTTCTAATTCAAGGTTTAAATCTTTCATCCAACTGAGGCCACCTTCTGTATCTCTTGGCTTTTGAGGTTTCTGATGGTCGCACGACTGAGACATCCACCTATCTTGGGACATGGGCTTTTCAATCAAGTCGGGAAACCATCTGTCTTCCATTTTGGGCCTTCTACTTTCTGCTCCTCTTAGGCCTTGCATTTTACTTCAGTCCTGATCCAAGGGATGTATTTTAATGTAAGATCATCCTCACAGGAAAGCCAGGCATATGGAACAGCTCTGCAATGCTTCTTTTGATAGCCGACATTCTGCATCTATTGGAAAGGGGTTAGGAAGCCCCTCTGACACACAGTGCAAACACAAGAACAAACAAATATCCAAGCGAGAATTACATGAAAGCAAAGAGCAGACATAGACTCATGAATAGGTTGAAATACTCAAAGGTGAGTATAAAAGAGAAAAGAAAAAAGCAGAAAAGTATCAGACACCAATACTGAAATAGAAAATCACAAACAGCAGAGACACTGAGGTATATAAAGGAGGAAAAAGAAAGGCAGAAAGCAAATGTAGAAAAGAAAAATGTTAAGCAAGGAATAGACATAGCAGAAAGAAGGCCAGAATCAGAAATAGCTGAAATGTCAAACCAAGAGAAGTGGAAAGAGTGACAATCACAATTCACAAAGAGAAAAAGAAGTAAGGTAGGAACAGTAAGAAAAATGCAAGAAAAACACACAACATGTGACCAAAGAGGAGACAAAAGGAATAAGTGAAAAAATAGCCTGAACCAGGAGAGCAGAGAGAAACAAACAAAATGAGAAGAAAAAGAGAGATATACATCTAAGACAAGGTACAGAACACACTTAGGAACAAAAAGAGAAAATGAGAAAAAGGTACAGAGGAAATTAGCAAGACAAACATGAAAATGAATAAAAAGACACACTCAAGGTAGAGAACAAACAAATTCAAGGAAGAAATAGACAAGCAGAGAAATACACATTTATGACTAAAAGGGATAAGGCAAGGCAGACATAAAAAGAAAAACAAGAGACACAAGGTAAAGTGGCACAAGAGACACAAAGAGAAGATGATAAAAGAAAATTTTAAAATTGCGGTTAATAACTACAATGAATGATTATTTCTACCAATACTACTGCCAATAATAAT